TTCAACTTACACAACAAACAAATAACTTTATTTCTTTATTCTACAATTTTTAAAAAGCAGCGCCCCTGTTAGTCACCTTTAGTCAAGTTAAGGTGAGATACATGTATTGCCAATTGCAACCTCGACGTTTCAGATCAGCTGAGGACATCCTTTGACTTCTGTGCTATTTAGGTCACCTAAACAGTAAAAAGTAAACGGTCCTGGAAGGAGGGAGAGTGGACTAAAAACATACACGTATTAAAGTCCGAACGATTCCAAGTGTTTTACGCCCTTGTCGACCCAATAACATATATCAATACATTGTATAAGAAGGCGAGGGGATGTCATGTACACTTTCATTCATTTGCATTTTGAGTTGTGTGTAGGACACACCGTGAAAGATGGTCCGAGTAAGACATTTTCTCATACAGAGGTTTTAATTTTATGGCCTCTGCTAGTCTGCTACTTGCTAATGGGGGGCTCTCATGGTCTAAAGGTTAAGGTGTTCACCTCTCATTCATAGGTCCATGGGTTCGAATCTGGATTGCGCTGGAAATTTTTCTTCTTTTAAATCTTCTCTTTTCACACCCTTTCCTGCCCTCTATGTTCTGTCGTCTGCTTTTGTCTCCACTTTCTGCCCCACCCCTCATCCCCTTTGCCCCCTCCTTCGGGCTCCTCCCGACTCTTTCTGCAGCCTTTCTATTTCTACAGCTACTCCTTGGCTCCGTCTTACTGCTGTCTTTCAGCCACACCCCTGATCTTATGGTAGGTAAGATCTACACATCGCCTTCTCAGATAAGGGCAAAAAATCTAGGAGGTCCCGTGTACAAGAAATGCGCACGTTAAAGATCTTTTGGTGGTCCAAAATCGATAAGTGTAGGCTTCGGCGGCCACCGGGCAAAATTCAAACTTTCCTACCAGCTGAAAATGTTTAATGGGTCCCGTGCGCTCATATGACCGTATGCAGTTGCTAGCGTCGTAAAACACTGACAAAAATTTTTTTTTTTTAATGCTAATGCGGGGGTGTGTCGGGCCCGTGTTGTCATGACGGTACGACATATTGATTGTTATCTCTGTGACTCAGTGACGGTTTTGTTACTACGAATTGCATTGGGATAGTACTTCTGAAGTTTTCCAGTTTCATCAGTCCTCAGCTTTCCACAGTCTTTGCCCTATTAACACTCCTCTGGACTTTTCCTTGATTTTACTATGAAAAGTTGCCCAGTTAAATGGAAATCCATCCGATAAATGCATTCATGATTTTCAACAGTGAGATCTGGAAATGAAGTATCTCTCTGAATCTCAGACATTGTTTTACTGTCTCAAACATTTATCATCAAGACGTACTGTAAGCCATGTCTCTCCAACATCATTCATCACATGATGACAGCTGCCTCCTTTTCCATGCCCCCTCTTGTCCCAACACAGTTTACATCACAATTAGGTTCATGAACACTGACCTTACTTCTCCTAAAACCTCTTCCCCTTTTCATCCGTCATGTCACATGATGAACAGTATATAGTAAGTATCTTGAAACCCACTACCAAACTCGTCCTTTTTTCAATAGCACATCAAAAACCAGATTTTGAAGTATGTCCACGTTTGTGCCTTAATTGTACTGTCATATGATGACACAAGAATGTTTTCGTATTTTTCCACATCTCCTGCTTGCTCTCGATAGGTGCACTTCACTTTCTCCACTGCTTTTCCATCATGTTTTTGGTGACAAGTGGAAACTGAAGGTTTTATTTTGCACTGTTACATGTTCATCATTTCAGCAACATCGCTGAAGCCAGCACGTCCCATACCAGTGGCTAATGCTGTAGTAACAGCTCTCTTATTTGAATTATTGCACGATGAACACTTTACTCTCAAGAAAAGAGAGAGACCACAAATCTTTTTGTGGGCAAATTCCAAGGAGATTCCACACATGTCGCTGCAGATACACAGTGCATCAAATAACATCCACAAATTCATTGGGAGGAAAAAATATGACTAAATCTAAGCAAAATTTGAAGTACAATATTATTATTAAATATTATCTTCGCAATACTGCATAACAACTCAATACTCAATATTTCATTTCATTGCCATGTCATGTGACGAATCCAGCTGCTCTACTTACAGATTCAATGCTCATTTTCTTAAGTTTAAGTCGTTATAATTTTCATCAGCGAGAAAGAGAAAGAGAGGAAAGCCAAGAACTACCTGGGAATGAGATCTAGAAGCAGGTCTCAGGCATATTGGACGCAGCTGGCTGGAGGTGGAGAAGATCGTCCATAACAGAGACAGGTGGAGAGCTCTTCTTGGCCACTTTTACTCTATACCAGGGCAAAAGAGGCGAATGAAAGATCCAGCTCATATTTATTTTTTTCAGCCTTTTATTCACAATGAATCTTCATGAAACTGATTTCAAAGTTCATAATTACTTATATACTTTGATAATTGTTGCAACAAACAATACTTCACATTAATCACATGACAGTTCGCTATCCTGTCAGCTGTACATTTTCACAGTCAGCAACCTGAGAGATATGCAACAAACATCCACCACAATATTCATGTTATTACAAAAAGTAAGAAATCATATCAGAAATGGTAATAATTAGTTTACAGCAATACAAACCTAATGGTCTATCTGAGTCCCTGGTGTGCACATAATGATGTTATGCATGTTTGTGCTTCTCAAAAAGAATTGATAATATTTTAAAATATATAAATACTTACACATACTCAGTCTTCATTCATGAAATGAAATCACTTGCAGCAGAGAGGGCAACCACATAAAAGAAGCACATATAATTAATCCAACAAAAAATGCTGACAAATTTCATATCACTGAAATTTGTTAACAAATTTGTCAGGTATTAATGACAATTATTCATTTGGTAATATACTTGTCAAAAAATAAACTATGATGGGGGAAAAAAAGAAGCAAAAGAAAGAAACAAAAACAAATGGAGGGCATTTTTCTGTTCATACTTCACATTGTCCTTAAAAACACTATATGTAATAGACCTTGTGCAAAAAAACAAACTATCCAAAAGTCGGTAACATTGTCATGTTCTGCAAATAGGCTTTCCTGTATTATTCCTTGTCAGACTGAACTCAGTCACGTTCTCCGGACTTGAACATGATACATCAGCACTAAAGTAGTACAATTACAAATTTGTTCTGAATGGTCATATTTGAAGATGAACTATCACTGATAAAGAAAAGAGCATAGAATAGTTTTGTTCATCCCAGTTTATGTCACATTTATACACACAGACCTGCCAACCACTCCATGACTTAAAATAGCAGTTCTCCACAAAAACCTCCCAAAAATAGGAGTCTGGGGGAAAAAATCAGTCTCCAAAACCCCAGTGGATTAAGATTATTTAACAAAATAACTGTGACAAACAATGTGTATTGCAACTATACTAAAAAAAAGCTAACTAAAATGTGTATTTTCACACCGTTTACAATAAATCGCATACGACCAGATAGAAATGTAACTTTTCTTTTTAATTGTATTTTATACAAACTCTATCTGGGTTCTTCAAAGTGCAATGAAATATCAGACAGCTCTGATTTTATCTAAGTACTTGTCAGCTCTGTACACATATGTGTCGCGATGCGGTGGAATCAGGCGCTCTTCAATTTTTGGGCATATGGAGTTATTGCAATCATCCGAAAGTTTGTTCATTAGCTTAGATTTCTCTGAAAAAAATACCCATGTATCTTGAATAGAAATTGAGAAATTTGCGATTAAAGAAAGTGGGGGTCTCCTGGTTTCAGTGGTAAAATTTGTGAAAAAATGGCCGCCAAAGCTTATAACTTCAACAGCTTGAGAGTCATTTAAAACAGATAATTTGCATATTTTGTGCCTTTGATCAACGTTTTGCAGAAAAATTCACATAAAAATGTGTTTTTATTGACTTAAAAGGTGTTGAGCACAAAAACAAAAATTTGATAAAAATTGCCAAACTGGCGGGAAAATAACTGTTTCTTCAATTTCATTATTTTGACGAGCACCTGATTTCACCACGATGTCTCACACGATGTTTACTGCCTACTATTTCAACACTGATGGGTGATGAAGCAGGACCTCCAAACTTAACATCCATAGGACCAAGGATAGTAATAATAGGTGGAGAACCATGAAAACTCCAAAAAACAACTCAAGTTCTAGAATGCTCCATTAGAAAATCTAACCATGGTCATCCACACCATGGCTGAGAATGACACCAACTGTATATATAACAGCATACCCTCATTCTGCTTTAATAAAAATAAATCAGAGTTTTAACAATAATAGTTTAAGAAATACATCAATATCGGTTTGACTTTTTCCTGAAACGAACAAAATAAAATATCTGGCTTGGAAATGCATGAACTGTTTTTTAGTGATGCATTTCCCCATCTCTTTGTACATTGCTTTTTAAGGATGTGAAATCAGGATGACCATTAATGTAGTCCACCAAGATAATACTAAGGTGGCAAAAAAAAATGATTTCAGACAAAATAACAAAGAAAATGGAACATTGGAAACAGCAAAACCCCAAAAATATATTTTTGTAAAAGACAAGACACTGTCTATTTCGTAACCAGCATTACTCAATTTTATATGAAAACATTTGTCAAGAGCACTCAGAAAAAGAATATGCATGTTTCGAGACATCCTAATACTGTATTCAAATGAATGATCACCACTCAACAACATTATTGTGATCACCCCCAAATACAATTTATAGTTTTCAGAATAAAATTTACTTGATTTCAATAAGCAGATCTAGGCTCACGTGTGATAATGAGATGCAAAAGGAATCACATGAAAAGAACTTCCCTTATAACTTGTTAATCTATTCTTTCTGAAGTCAAGCACTCTATAAAACAGAAAATATCAAAAGCTTGATTTGGAACAGAACACAGGGCTGCCTGAGAGTTCATAATACAGAAGAAAACTTCAAAACATTTAACGAGACAGTAACCAGTACAGTACAAGACAGTAACCAGTACAGTCAGAGACTGACATTAATTTTTTTTGTCTTATAAAGAGCTTTATGGCACTTGCAACAACACAATATGGTTATACAAGCGAAGAACAGAGGTGTTGCATGAGAGTAACAAACACAAAAAAGGAGAGATCAGGATGCCAGATGTTTGATAGGAAAGAAGGAGCATACCACACCAGAGCACCAGCCAACCACCCACCGACACTCCATTAAAACATGATGACTGAGTCTGGTAAGATATATATAAGACACCAAGGGGAAAAGACAAGTTTCAGAGTTGAAGTGACATAATCTAGCATAGCATGAATATCATTTTGTAAAATTTATCATCACGCTGTCAAGATGCAGAAAAAGGCATCAAACAAATAGGGAAGGGGAGAGGGGGGGGTTGGTGGGAGAGGTGGGGTTCTTTCTTCGCCAAGTGGTCCTCACCTCTCAGGCAAAAGTACCAGATCTGATGCAAAGTTTACATCAAGATGGTGGTCTTAGGAGCTGGGACGCTCTTGGGAATTTCACAGCCTTGACCTTGAGACAGGAAAGATCAAGCTCAAGGATTTCTTTGATGGGAACGAAAAGCTCTGTTCTATTATGCAGACAGTTTGCCGTAATTAAATCTAAACAGATAAAAGCTAAAGAATGAAGACCTGACAGTGCTGGCTATTGAGACAAATTCTAAACAAATTCTTCACAGAAATTTACAAAGCTCGAATCAACACAAACAATAAAAGATCCTTTAAAAATATCACAATGTAGTTAAAAAATAATTACAGTGTGAATCCAATTTTTTTATTGCTATCTCCAGTATGGTCAAATAGAGTTAGTCAAGTATCTCATGGCAAAAAGATATTACATCGCTGTGAGACAGATTAGAAACCCTTAGCAAAGACCATACAAGTTAAAATCAATTGCACTGCAAGTTGAAGAACCTGCAGTCGACTATCCCTGAGGATAGGCACAAGAAAACACAGGTGGGAACAAAATGGGAATCCCCAACAAGACACTGTATGTAGCCAGGGAAAATAAACTCACTTTAAAAGATCCAATAAATGGTGGGGGGGGGGGGGGTAGCATGTTTCAGATTACAACAAATCTTAAATTGTTCCATATGCTGTAGCAGATTCATTCTTTGCATATCACGGCATAGAAAAGAAGTATTTGAACCATGCACGCATCACTTCAGAGAGCCTCCATTGAGCAAGGAATCCCACAGCAACAGCTACAGCTGTCCAGAGAGTTTTGTACTTGCCAGCAGACAGCACAACTGTGGACAGGATAATTATACAGAAGAACATCAAGTTGAACAATGAAATGGCTGGAAAACCCCCCAAAAAGTGGCAAATTTTCCCTGTCAGATACACATAACATAGTTGACAGTTCCCAAAAGACGATACAACAGATCTGATGTAACCTGACAAAACATTTTTTTTTTCTTTTTGGCGCAAACATATTTTATTTGCTAAATTGAAAGCCTGATCAGTTACCCAACTTATGTGAAAAAATCAAAGTGAAACTCACTAGTTTTTGAAAAAATTTGAATTCAGATTTAAGAAAAACACTATTTTTCAATGGTTAGGCTGACAAAAATCCTCTTTTTCTCGAAACTGCTGTGAATAATAAAAGTGCATTTTGTCAGCTTTCCTGATCCTAGAACAGGTGGGATTGAGCACGCACTCTTCTCGATTATGTTTAAAAACAAAACAACTGTCTGAGTTTTCTGAGTCCTTTGAGCACACAGATAAAATCAAGAGCTTGTTAAAACTTTCAAACTATTCCCTAGACAAAAGAGAAGACTTTAGGTCATAAAAACACTAAATGTACCATTGAAAATGAGAAAGCACAAAACAATAATTTTTGTGCTTAAAAATGACAAGAAATATATACTGAACATTTCAGGGCATAACCCTTCTTTTCCCCTCCTGTTTATAATAATAATAATATATATGGACACAATAACGCAAGAAGCAAACCAAAGCTCAGAAAGCCTAAATGAATTTCTGTTCGCAGACGACCAATGTCTAATTTATCATGACCAACAAAGCCTCCAAAATCACACTACCGAACTCAAAAACACAATAATCTGTGAGAAATTCAACATGAAAATAAGCACATCAAAAACAGAAGTTATGAAAGTGAGCCGAAACCATAGTCCCCTGAACATCCATGTCAATAGTAAACAACTGAAACAGGTGAAAGAGTTTAAATATCTTGGCAGCACTTTTTCTGAAAACGGGTCCATAGACAGAGAAACATTATGTTATCAGTGCCAGACCTGGACCTTAACCCTTAAAACCCTGAATTCTTTTTTTTCATACCTCCCTAGAATCCTGAATTAAAATTGAGATACTAGAAAAAATTAGGTTGGTTCATTATTTTGTTTACTGTGTTTTTAATTGTTGTTAGATTTTACTGATTTTGAAAATGTTATGTATATATGAATGCACAGTCTGAACAAAAGGGGAAAAGGTTAAAACACTGGTTTTTAGGACCAACTCTAAGAGTTAAGTCTTGTGTGTGATCCCCGACACAATTTCAGTCAAAGTATCATTAGACCCAGCCGTAGATCTAGCCTCTGGTAGCTTTAGTGGTGATCTCCTGCCAATTCCACTATCGTCAAAATCATCATCGATCTTATGCGGAACATTGCAATCGTCTTCAACGGTCATATTTATCGATATATCCGACTGGGAGATCATTATTGGGGTCTGGTTTGGATCAAAAATGTCAAAAATTTTGCGGCCTGGAGGGCCAAGCAGCGAAAAGTGACTAATTTTTCTTAAAACCTCGCAAAATTTCCAGACTTTCGGTGTAGAACTGCTCTCATGACATTATCGGTACTTTCTGCTCGCGACAGAGTCATCTGGAGTTACATCCCCTGTTTCTAGCATTGGGAATTAAACGATAAAGTCGACCAGCGGTTACCAGCGTTACCAGCGGTATAGGAAAATAGGGCGTCAGCGGTTACCAGCGGTATAGGGTTTTAAGGGTTAAGCAAAACCCATGAAAGCAAAATCACTGCATGCGAAATTAAAACCCTTAACATTATAAGACGAGACAGGCAGAGAAATGAAAAAGTAAGAGCAGCTATCGGCACTGAGTCCTGCCTGCGTTACATAGAAAGACAGAGGATAAAATCATAAATGGTTTGGCCACCTGTTATGCATGTCACCTGACCAGCCAGCCTTGAGAGCCTACAACACCAAGCACTCAGGCTATAAAGGAAAAGGAAGGCCACGCAAAAGGTGGATCGAGGGAGTCAAGGAAACCCTTAGAAAACATAACATCACAACTGAAAGAGCTGCGGAGCTGGCCTACCATAGAAATCTGCATCTCCCCTCGACGCTGAACGGCAACAGAGGATGAAAAAGTAAAAGTAAAGTAAGAACCCTTCTTTTCTTCAACAGACACACACTGATGGTCTCTTACCGCTTTGAAAAAGAGTAACTTATAGTTGCCAATCCTAGAGACCTTGTACAAGAATGGAGAATAACAATTAAAAAAATAATAAGAAGAAGAAGAATAGACAGCTTTTGTAGAGTGCAAATTCTCCCTCAACAGCAAGCCATATATGTGCTTTACATTCTATTATATTACCCCAGCAGACCTGATAGCATTCTCAAAAAATCTTAACTACCTGGGAAGCATACAGTACAAAACTAATATTATTTTACAGGAACTAAAAAGACACCAACAGACTGACAAGATCTTTCACTGTCTATGGCCAGGTACCCATTCACACCTGGGTGAAGTGAGTAAAATTTGTGTAAAGTGCCATTCCCAAGGATACAACATTGTGTCTGAGACTCGAACCCCTGAACACGTAACCTCACGGTTACAAGCCTGGTACCCTAACTACTAAACTATCAACATAGTAACGAGTCCAGTACCCTAACTACTAGTACTAAACTATCATTGTGAAATGGGAGAAGAAAAAAAAGAACAGCTCACCTCGCAAAGCCTGCAGAGTGGACAGAAACACAAATCCATCGCAGAGCCACACAAAGGCTGTGCTGAAGGAGCGACCCCAAAGAAGAGCTGGCACCGCGAGCACTCGCCCTAAGCTGGCCACAATGACTGCTTTTGTGATGAGCTGGCTCCTGGGGAGAAATGTGCCAGAAAAAAAAAAAAGATGAGCAAAAGCGTGAGAAAAAGAGATCATGAATAAAAGCATGAGAGAAGGAAATAGGGGGGGCATGCTTGAGGGAAAGAGATGGATATGTTTTTTAGTTTAGTTTTAGAAGAAGTTTTACGGCGCTTGCAGCTGCATAAGGTCATATGAGCGCCAGAAGATTAGAGGTGTTACAAGAGAGTAACAAACATAAAAAAAGAAGAAGGGGAGATAAGGACAATAGATGTTAGATAGGAAAGAAGATGCAAACCACACCAGAGCTCCCGCCAACCACCCACAGATGGAGGTGTGCATGAGAGAAAGAGACTGATAAAGGCATGAGACAAAGAGATGGTTTAATACATGAGAGAGAGCAATAGATAGATAAAATCTATAGCTAGCATGAGAGAACAAGATGGATAAATGCATGAGAGAAAGAGAAGAACAAACACATGGGAGAAGTTTGTTTTATTGGTAGGAAAACACTGTAGACAGATCAATACAAACGTATCAAAAACATAAATGATAGACATACTTTGCTTTCACACAACTTCTCTACCTCAGAATTACAAAGTTCTATCTGCTCAGTATCAAGTTTTGAGAAATTTGACATCAAAGATATATAAAGTTTCACGTCATGTCAAGCTTTTTCTAATGCAATTCTTAGAATATCTTGAAAACGACTTCAAATAATCTTACGATTTCGATACAACAGATAAAACATTTAGTTTTTGATCTCATGGTCTTAGTAACGTAAAACCGCCAAAAAAGTCAGATACAAGTTTGTAATTCTTAGGTAGTGAGTCTTGCAGAAATAATGCAGTAAGTAATATTCCAAATATCCGGAAGATCTGCAATGTAGGTATTTTGGCTGTTTGTTTATGTAGGCTACATGGTGCATTTTAAAAATTGTTTTGTGACACAATAATGTCTAGACATTGCTAAAAAGTTGATGGCATTTACTTTTACTTTAGTTCTTGACCATATATAAGAACTACAGCTAAGCACGTCAATATGATTACAGTCATTGAGAATTAAGTTCTCCTAGCTATTCCAAGACAGCTTTTTGTTCAGAGGATTGAAAAAGAGTAGCACATGACATGTAACAATGGTTATTTATTGGTGGGAAAAAGAAAGAAAAAGAAACAAAGGATGGTAAAAAAAATTGGAATCACCTGTGGCACCCTCCAACCACTTATAAAGAGGCAACTAAGGGCAACAGAGGAAAAGTAAAAATAAAGGAGGCGTGGGTTAAAGATACAAGAAGATAGCCTGTGTGGCCAATAAGGATGCTATTTTTTTAAAATACAGCGAATACACAGAAAAAGACAAAGCGGTTTTAATTATGTTGCCTCTTTTTCTGTGTTTTTCAGGCATTGAATGAATGCTCCTCACTGCTGTAACTTTCTCTTTGGGTTTGAAAACTGTCTTGATCTCACATTTTCATTAATTTCAACTTTTTGCCACTGTTCCTCATATTCGAAAATAAATCTATGCAAAATTTGCATCTCTCCTTTTTGTGCATCTTAACTCATCCACCCCTAATGCCAATAGTATAGGTATGCGCGCGCAACGCTCCAACCTTAAGGCGACAGTATTAGAATGGGAAATTTTGCTCTCGTGAATGAAAACACTACTTTTGTGTGAAGCAGACTATAGCCTAATTGGAAGAATAACCTTTTTTTTAAAAACAGACTGTGACCAGAAGCACAAACCCAAATTTAGAGCAAAGAAAGCTATATTTGTGAACCATGTGGGGGAGTGCGAAATTTGAACGCACTTTCCTTCTTCACATTTTGTTTACTGTTTGACTCTGTATATGGACCTTTTTCTACGGAGAAGTGCATAAAAACTATGACACACACTTTGCCTTCAAATTTTCAATACACACAAACAAAGGTTTGGGTAGGATATGTTAAAATTTAGTTGTTTTTTTTAAAAATTGTTTAAAAAGTGGTAAAAATCTCTAGGGAGAGCTGACAACCCAGCAGTGTAGGCCTAGTTTAAGTGAGTCAATGAAGATTTCTTTTCTTCTTTCCACTCCCCACATGAAGGAGCAAGCCACAAAGGATCACTCACAATACTCTTATTGAGCTTTAAAAGTAAGGAGAAAAACAAAACAATAACAAGACTGAAAAAAAGCTTGACTCACCAAATTAATCCCACACTTCCACCTTGCAATAGGCTCCTCAAAAAAAGTACAGCTTGTACAGACAACAGCAGAGCAAGAAGTTCTGAAACAGGAGGAATAAATCAACAGCTTTGCAAGAAAATGCAAAATATCCGTTTTCTCATTTTGAGAAAGATTAATATTTTTGTTCTTTGTCACTGCCGTGAGAAGAACAAGGCTGGCCTTCAGTCTGCGTGTCCCAAGAGGTGACTAAAGGATCCAAGATGTAGCTCCCAACACGATGCTATCATAGAATTTCAAAGTTATATCTCATATTTTTGGCCATTTTGAGTTACTAAAACCATAGCGCCTGAAACCAAATGTTCTATCTACTCTATCAAAATCGTAAGATTATTCGGAGTCGTTATCAAGATATTTAAAGAATTACATTAAAGACAGCTTCACATATTGTGAAACTCAACATTTTCTAGGTCAAATTTCTCAAAACTAGGTACTGAGCAGATAGAACTTTGTAATTCTAAGGATCGATGAGTAAACTGGTCCTCCAAGTAGGGATTTGAGTTTAGGAGTGGCATCTTCAGACCCATAAAACAACATCCTCACTACAGAACCACAAACTAGAAACTTTTTATTATAAACATATTGGGAGATGCCTAAGCTTCTAAAGGAGCATATATGAAGCCTGGCTATGAAAGCCATTTGATAGCCCCCATATGGATTTGTTGACCGTTAACCAAGACAACAAAAATCCAGACATGGAATGGAAGGACCATTTATAAAACAGGTAAAGCACTTCTGGTTGCTTCAGAAAGGAAAAGATACAGCGTTGAAATTCTGGGTCTTAGTGAAACAAGAAGGAACAAATCAGAACGAACAGATTTTCTACAAGGGAAGTTATTTGACATTCAGGCCATTATATCAACAACAGCTCAACCCACACACAAGGGGAGTGGCGTTCATGTTACCTGGACCCGTTTGAAAAGTCCTCATTTCATGGGAAGGACACGAACAAAGACTAATTCACAGCTGCATTCAAGACAAGGAACAAAGGGATTAGTAGGAACATCATTCATAGAGTTCTGCCCCACAAATTATACTGTTATACAAAAGAAGTAAGTAAAGACGAACACTACAACCAGCCTTTAAAATATTCTTGATCAATACCCTACAAATGATCGTCAACATGCCGAATAAGGCTCACCTTCAGTCTGCGCGCTGCAAGAGGTGACTAAAGGCTCCAAGATTAACACTTTGCTATCATATTTTGGGGAAAATAAAAAAAAACTGCATAGTAAACATCGCCAATCGGCGAGATGAGGCGGCAAAGTGTTAAATTCAGAGATCCCACCTCATAAATAAACTCGGTGTAGAGAGAGGCACTTCTCCCACAGGTCAAGCTATGGGTAGTAGGAAAGTAATTGTCAGACACACTGTGGATAGAGAAATGTACACATACAGTCGACTCCCCCTCTGTGCTGATAAGGGAAAATAAAAAAGTAAAAGAAAGAAGTCTCAAAAACATTGAGAACCCTTGCCCTACCTGAAGCTGCTACTATGTAGTTGAGGTACAGCTCAAGCCCTAGGTGTGTGTACTGGATGCCATCAAGGCTATTATGTGGACCACTTGTTAGTTCTGACCGCTGCAAGACCAGCTTGGCAAAGGCATCACATACCCACAGGACTAAGGCTAGTCTCCAATGAGACTGTGGAAACAACAAAATAAAATAAGCAATCAAAAGAAAACATGAAGAGAGATGAGACAATCACAGCCTCGGGTGCAACAAGTTGGCCGTTCCCCTTTTGAAGTGAAAAACCATCATACTTATTTCAAACAATCACAACCTTGTGCAGGAATATCAAATCATCCATAATGTGGCAGGAGCAGTAAAAGAAGTAACAGTCAGATAGAGAAAAGTATCATGGCAGAGATCTCCATTCAAGGAATTCCCATTTTCAAAATAGACAACTTAGTCTATTTTAAAGTTGTCATCTGCACAAACATGACACATGATAACAATTTTTGACCATCTTTTTAAAATAAAGCTTGACAAAAACTGCATATAAATTCAAAATTTATGTCGCATATGCATATATAATATATATTATACAATTACTATTAGACAATTATTTATAACTTTATATATATATATATATATACATATACATATATGTATCAGACTTCACATCCGCACCATTTGGGGCTCACAAGGAAGAGGTAACAAGCTACCCACAAACCACGGAAATTACCCATTCCCTTGTCTGGCAGAGTGGCGTAAAGGTTAATTAGAGCCGGTGGAACTAAACCTAGTTTGGAGTTTTGTTTCACATCGAGGTTGAGTAGGTAAAGCATTTTTCCACCTTCTACATGTCAAACAAAACCCTACTTCTGTAGGGAAGGAATTTCTATGTCCGTTTTCAGGTTGTGAAGATTTCCATATAGAGTCATAATAGCAAGCACATAGCAAACAAACACATGATAGAAAAACATGCACATTGCAAACAGATTTTTCAGGCTAGACTATTTCCATACACAAATGTGTGTGAAGCAAGGACACTTTACATCATTATGCCCTTACTTCAAACTGTGTATTGATGAGCAGATGTCTGTATGGCTGTGGCTGCAACAGCATTGCATCCAAGAATATGATGACTGGATCATATTCAATGTACTTGTCAGCAACTGAACCACAGCTTTTCTGAAATGAAAATTAAAGAAACCGTTCCCACACATTCTTATAAAACATGTCTTGGTGCCAGAAGGGTTCAATATGAAAGGATCTTTACAAATAATCAAGGCTGAATTGGGCATTGGCTTGTTATATTATCAAGTTTCATCTTTCCTAGACCTTCAAAGCCACTGTGTGATACAATTATAATCATGAATTAATGCATTGATTTCAGAAATTAATCATACATATGTGAAAAAGGGAAGGAGTTCCGCAGAGGGCCGGCCAACCAACAACACACAACCCTAACCCTAACCCAAACCAACTCTGTAGGCTTCTATAGTTTGCTCAGTGGACCTTGTCACGGTAAGTGTTGGCCCTCAGCCTAGGCGATCATAAATCAGGCAGCGCAGCCCAAGAACTACACACCTTGCTTGTGGGCTGACACACCGGCCGCTCAGGCTTCGGCCCACAGCAAGCAGTGACCTTCGTAATGATAATAATGATTACAACGGCCACGGCTAGGCGGTCTCTTTCTCCCCCCCTCTCTCTCTCTTTCTCTCTCTCCCTCTCCCTCTCCCTCTCAATCTCTCTCTCCCTCTCAATCTCTCCCCCCCCTCTCTCTCCCCCCCTCTCTCTCTTTCTCTCTCTCTCTCTCTCTCTCTCTCTCTCTCTCTCTCTCTCTCTCAATGGTTTAGCTTCCCTGTGTTTGTGTTCAAACTAACAGACATGTAAAAAATTATTGTAGACAGACAAAAGCGATGGAAAGACAGAAAATTGACTTGAGTTGAGTTAGAGTTTTACGGAAATGGAGGGCACACACTGGTATGTTTTGACACCTTTTCATAGGATAAAATGTTTGGTAAGCTAGCAGTCCATGCCCGATATTCTGTTTCATCCGAAGGAAATCCATACAAGGTCACTTTTTCTGCACCTTTCTGACTGTCATAGCCAGTTTTGCATCCACCAACTGAGCATTTTCTTCCCATTGTTGTTCTTATTCCTTCAGTTTATTTTGAAGGTGTCAGTCACAGTCCAACAGAGTCATAACCACACATGATGAAAGCAAGAAATAGGCCTAGAAGAGAAGCATGTAAGCACTGTGAAAGAACAGCAGATATTAATATACAAAGCAGGTCGGGAAAAACACAAAGACAAAGGAGCTCCCCCATAATTATGATCCGTATACTTTTCCCTACCTAACAAGGGTGGGCCCCTAGACGCTCAGAGTCTAGATAGATTTATATCTACATGGTCCTTTTAGTCTTTTGTTTGTGTTACAATCTAATCTAAATCTAAAAGCAGATCTAGGGATAGGATGGAGAGTTCGTTTTTAGTGGTTGTTTGCATAGAGAGGCTCTAAGTCAGTGAAGAGTGTGCGGATCAGGATGGGGGGGCCTCCACTGTGTAGACATGGATTTTAGAATGGATTTAGACAGATATGAATTAAACTTGCACGTTCAAAACTTCACTGTAGGTTTAATCTAAACACGTACACTGATGGAAGAGATATTTGATATTCACACAATCCAGATGATTTGAAAAAAACAACTGCATTAGGCTTCAACTAAAAGAATCCAGGCATTCACTGAGTACGATGGCGATGAAGAATCTGAAAATGAACAGTAGGCCTACAGTGCAGCCAAACAGCACTTCAAATTTGCAATCTCAAGACTGTTGGTCAATCTTAATTAATTAATTAATTAGTCACCACTTCTGTTCCTCAACACACACAATGATGTAGAAAATATTCACATAATCCAGATGACTTGAAAAGCAAACTGCATTAGGCAGAAATAATCCAGTGTCAAAGCATGAGAAAACAACAATTCAAACTGACCGCCGCACCCTGCGTAGGCTTATCACTACTAATGATCTACAAGGTTGTGGGCTTACTACACGGGTGTGTCAGCCCACAAGGAATCTAGGTCAGTAGCCCGCAGGTGGCCTGATTATATGACCGTCTAGCCCTCAGCGGAATTCCTCCCTGCAAAAGAAAACATTAGCAACACCATATTTCTATTTTTTAAAGTATTGTGGGCTTTGCAAGCTGCTTTACTTTCTCAAAAATCTATTAGAATCTATAATATGTGCAGATATTATAGTAGGCTAATGGCTCTGCCATGCATTGAATCTATCTAGGCGTAGCCTAGACTCAGAACTGTGAATGCCAGGGATTCCCACTTTGTCAGCCAAGGCAGAGAGTATAGAAGTCTTGTACAGGCAGGGTTGGGTTGATTTAAATCAGGTTGATTTAAATCCGTTGATTTTTTTTATTTAAATCAACTTGATTTTTTAAATAAAAATCAGTGATTTAAATCACTTTTTAAAAAATTTATTTTTATTCAGTTTTTACACATTTCAACATTCAGAATTCCTTTCCTTGGTTTCATAAAACAGATATAAGGTTTAGTAGACTGATACAATCATGCTTAAAAGTCTGCTTTCCCCCCTTTAACTGTAAAATAATACAGTATTCAATTTACTTTTTTTTTCATAATTGAAATCAGAGCTGGTTTGATTTAAATCAGTTGATTTTTAAAATTTTAATCAACTTGATTTAAAAAAAAAAAATCAGTGATTTAAATCACTTTTCAAAAAATGTATTCAGCTTTTACATATATTTAAACATTCAGAATTACTCTCCTTGGTTTTATTAAACAGATATAAGGTTTAGTAGACTAATATAATCATGCTTAAAAGTCTGCTTTCCCCCCTGTCACTGTAAAATAATACAGAAGTTCTCAATTTACTTTTTTTCCATTAAAATTGAAAACCAGGGTTGGGTTGATTTAAATCAGGTCGATTTAAATCAGTTGATTTTGTTTTATTTAATTCAACTTGATTTAAAAAATAAAACAGTGATTTAAATCACTTTTAAAAAATGTATTCTGTTTTTATATCTTTGAACATTCAGAATTCCTTTCCTTGGTTTCATAAAACAGATATAAGGTTTAGTAGACTAAATTAATCATGCTTAAAAGTCTGCTTTCACCCCTGTCACTGTAAGTAGTAAAATAATTACTGTATTCAATTTACTTTTTTTTCATAATTGAAATTAGCTTTTTCTTTTTCTTTTTATACAAACACAAGCGCGCGTGCACACACACACTGTAATAAAATGCAAGTTTATCTATTCATAATTACCCCCCCCCCCCCCCTTCCTTTTAGACTGACATTTTCTTCATTTTTTGTCTGTAGCCATAATTCACTGGATGTAGCAGATTAAGGCTTTCTAAAATTGCAGTTGCTTAAATTAATCATTAGCTAAAATAAAGACAATGCATTTTGCACTAAAAGAACTTACTTTTAGCCACCAAAAATCCCAAACTGAGTCGCCATTTTTTTTTAAATCAAAAAAATAAAAAAAATCCTATTTAAATTTTTAAAAATCTGAATTAAATAAAAAAAATGGATTTTTTTTTTAAAATAAAAAAAATCAAAAAAATCACCAACCCTGTGTACAGGTGTAGGTTATGGTGGCAACACGACTGCACAAAGGCAGCCTGCCTACTCGGATTATTTTCTTTGCAACTTGCAAAACTGTTCAGTTTGGTTGTCTGTGATTGTGCAGAACCCTTCTTCCACCCAGAAGAAGAAGAAGACTAAGAGTAGGCCTACGTCAATTTGGATACGAAAGCAACAAAGTTCAGTTTCAATGACACAAGCGGAGAGCAAGAGAATGACAACTAAATGCCATTGGCCGATATTTATAGTAACAGCCATTTTGTTTGACCTCTCAAGGGGGATGCCCGCCGCGTCATCTCATCTGATCGTGATTAGAAAAACAGTGATGATTTTGCGTAGGCCTAGCGCGCGCTTTGTTCTGGCAGTTTCCAAGCTCCATCCCCTTACCGTAGTAACTTACAGTCTAGATCTAGTTCTACTCCATTTGCGGCATGTCCTATTGAGTCCAATCTCTTGTAAGTGTTTAATTTTTTATTCTTACAAAACTTTATAAGAAACGATCCGGATAGAAACAGTCGATCATTTGCATTGCGTCGCTGAACTTTGTTTAAACTTGCTTTCATATCCAAATTGGTGTAGGCCTACACAACAAGCAGATAGCTAAAGAACGACAACAAAACGCCATTGACTGATATTTATAGTTACAGCCATCTCGTTTGACGGGCATCCCTTTTGTGAGGTCAAACAAGATGGCTGTTACTATAAATATAGGCCAATGGCATTTAGTTGTCGTTCTCTAACTATCCGCTTCTTGTTAGGCCTACTCTTTGTCTTCTTCTTCTTTGTCTTCTTAGTTTACTTAAAAAGAAAAGTGTGTGCGAGGCACAGCGAAAAAAAGTTTGCTCCGAGGAGTGGTCAGGCATGCTCAAATTAACCAGCTCCTCATGGAGACAATTAGCAGGAAGACCCTGAGGTGGACGCTGGAAAGGAGAGATGAGCAGCTATGGCTATGGACATGCCGCCTGCTATGATATGATTCTAACTCTGGATCAAAGTGAATACGTTTACTTAGTGTACAGCGTCAGAATCAATCTGGGCAGAAGAAGGGTGCTGCACAATCACAGACTACCGAACTAAATAGTTCTGCAAATTGCAAAGAAAATTTATAATCCGGTGATTGTTAAGATTCCCGCCTTTAATTCCGATTTCCGTTTTTCATTGCCTCAGACATGTTTCGCTTTGTTGACTTTGGTCCCTAACCCTAGATTCTATCCCTGAATTACACAAATCGGAATTAAACGTAGGAATCTTAACAATCGCCAATAATAATCCGAGTCGGCAGGCTGCCGTTTTAGGCGATTACAACTCACACAATGAGAAATCCTTATTATTCCAGCTTTAAAATCAGTGTATAGACTGGGCACGTTTGCCCCGCATTCAATGCATTGATATTCAGCCATCAATAGGAAAGTGGACACAATAAAAAGCAATTCCTAAAATATAGAACAAGGCATGTATCAAGTAATAAGCCCTGCAAGTATTTAATTTAGCGTACGCAATTACGCAACACAGACAGTAACAAGTCCTGTTGAAGGTTCGGCTTACACTATGAAATTATAATCGGAAGTCGGAAGCCAACTTTTACTTTTAGTTTCTCACTTCGATATCCGGTTTTATTTAATTCATTATGCCCCAAAACTTTAACAACCAATCAATTTGGGCGAGGCATTCTCTGGTTTTGGTCGTGGGCCTACCTTCATTTTCCACAATTGTATGAAAGGTTTATTTCTTACTCCCGTTAAGCCTGGGTTTGTTTTGTTTTTTGTTTTTTGTTTCTTTCCTTACCTGCGCCTTTTGTGTTATGGAGAGGGGTCAGGTCACTGTATTCTTGGAACGCGAACTGACGTTTACAAAATAATATAATGAAACTGAAAGTACATAGAATCTATTAATCTTTTTATTTAAAGAAGATTGATTTTTACTGAGCCTACGTACTTCATATAGATCTACATTTTTGATTTGTCAGGACTGTGCAGGTAAGTACGTTGGTTCCTCAAAGGGTTGGCACTAGATCTACCTCTACTGTTACTTTTTACACTTGGCTATTATTATAAAATGTATTTATAATCGCTTGAATTGAGCAGGCCAGCTCGTCCTAGATCTAGATCTAGAGTCTAGGCTGTAATTTTTTGTTGTTGTTGGTGGTGGTGTTTGTTGAGTTGGGGTTGTTTGTTTTTGTTTGTTTTTAATTAAGTGTTAATGGGGACGTTCTTTAACATGGATATACTCATTTTGTTCACAATAACTAACATTAAATTATCAAACCTGCATTATTATTAGACGGCGTCATAGAGGCCCTACCGTTGCGTCTCCCGCTCAACAGTTCCAATTTTAAACAAGTTGAAGCCGAAAATGGGGGGGAGGGGGGGGGGGTTGGGGCTGCCACTATCTTTAAAAGTTCGAAACAAATATGCAGCTTAAACGCAGTGTAATCTCTTTTCAAAACAAGCTGCGGACTTCATTGTCTCTCGAAATGTCTTTGTCAATGTTAATTAGTTAATTACAGCATTATAAACACTCACGTACAGTAATAATTACACTAGGATGGTAAGAAATGTTAATTGCATTAAATTACCAGCTCAAATAGTCGCCTAACATGTACTATATATACACATTGTGAGGGTAAAATAATAATTTATTTAATTACATGTTTTAGAGAAGAAATTGGGATAATAAGGATCAGAGCAAAAATATAAACTGGGTAACAAAATTTGCAGAAATTTTGGTCGTAGAAATCCATCAGTGCAAAATGATGTCATCACTGACAGTATTTTTACAAACACGTAGACTTCTTGACTTAAAAATAGAACAAAATTATATATTTCTGACAAAATGATTCCACAAAAGATGGAGTGAGGGTGGGATGCGATGGGCGAAGAATGAGGAAGGAGAGGGCAAGGCAGATGAGAGTGAGGTATGATTGGGAAAATGAACCTATCCCC